CCTGCATTGGAAGGCAGAGTCTTAACCACTGGACCACCAGGGAAGTTCTCAACTTTTTAATGGGAAGAAAAATCTAATTTGACAATACTTTCTTTTCTCAAATTGCAGTTGACTACATAATTAATTTTTTAATTAACTTTTATTGGAGTATAGTTGCTTCAATAATATTGTGTTAGTTTCTACTGTACAGCAAAATGAATCCGCCATACATATACATATATCCCCTCCATTTTGGACTTCCTTCCCATTCAGGTCACCACAGTGCATTAAGCAGAGTGCCCTGTGCTACAAAGTATGTTCTCATTAGTTATCTATTCTGTACATAGTATCAATAGTGTATATGTATACCAAGGGGGAAAGGGGTGGTGAGAGGAATTGGGAGACTGGGATTGACAGATAATTAACTTTTAAAGTGATGGTAGAAAAGTCAATTGCATTATCCTTATAGTAATCATTTTTCAGGTCTTACAACACAACTACATCCTGACTAGATGTTCACAATCTCTGAAAAGAAGCTGCCCTCTTCAGTATCTACCTTCCTTCAAAAGAACCTTACGTAAAAGACCTGACAGGCTAAGTGAAGAGAAGAACAAATACAGCTATTCAAATTACAGCCAAGTAATCTACTTTCATGTAACTGAGGCAAGAGGACATTCCTATTGAAGTATCAAGATAATTACCAATTCTCAGCTTTAATTGTCCCAGGGAAAAACTAGTCTGAAAAAAAAAAAACAAAAAACAGCTGTAAGAAATTCAGAAAGTAGTTTCCTGAACATTTTGTAACTTGAAGAAAAGGACTTTGCAATCCGAGTAGCACTTTCTGCAAACCCTAAAACAGAGAAGTACAAGAAAGTTAGGAGGAACAGTACAATGGCAAATAATTAGGGCAATCTGCCCTCTGCATGGTTTCTGGTCAGAGAGCAATCAGGAATAAAACAGAATGCGTCCCACACTTCATTTAATTGGAGATAGAAAATATCATAGACAAGATTTATTATGTAGGCACAAGTTAAATAGAAAATATCATAGACAAGATTTATTATGTAGGCACAAGTTAAGAGAAATCATATTTTAATAATATTGTGGACACTGAATCTGAAATTAATCAGACAAGTTGGAGAAAACTTTGCAGGCAAGCAAAAACACTTGAAATCTTCCATCTCCCTTCACTATTTGGGATATTTTAAAACAGAAAGGTCTAAATTCCCAGATTTAAAGATACTTTTTTGTTCTAGCTTAGTGAATGGGAACATTGCTTTTTTTCAGTCTAGCTTGATGTTTAATGGCATCCCTGCTTTTCCCCCATATCCCTTTTCAGTTTAGCCCAGTGTAGCCCTGAAAAGGATACAGGTTTCCCTCAGATTATAAATGCTAGTCAGCCTGTAATCCTCAGCACTTTTTTTTCTCACTGCCTGGCATCTAGGTATCCTTCCCAACAATTACTCCATTTGACTCTTTCTCTTTCATAGGGTACAGTCTTGGTGCAACTGCAATCCAGGTGTCCTGCCCTCAACCCTTGATGAAAGTCAAAGAGGTCCCTGAACAGTCCCTCTGAGAGTTCAGATTCTGCCTCCCAGGGCCTGGAGGTAGGACCTATCAGATTCCCTATCCTAGGATTTAAATCTACTATATATTTAAATGCTTTAGTGATAGCACAATGTTTCTGAACGTGATTTTCTATACTTTCCATCAATTCCAGAGACTCCCTGAGATCCTCCCACCAAAAAAAACCTTTTGCTTAAGTTGACTAAAGTTGGTTTCTTCTACCTGTAACTCAAGAACAGTGACACTATCATATCATTGTAAATACTGTTTACTATTTTTCAACTTTGAGAATCAACCTAAACCAAACCCAGAGAACACAATTTTGGTTATAGAGGAGACTTTTCATGGTCGTGACTTGGAATATATAGCAGGTGGTGTTGCAGGACATTATTACCACACTTCCAAAGATCTCTGTAAAATGTGGCTTCTTTAAGCAGCAAAGAATTCAAGCAGATTGAAGAGGATCAGAAAATCCAATTATGCTGGGGGTTCCCAATTAGATGGAGCTGTTGCTTATCTTCAGTGTTAAATTACACTCCACTAAGTCTCTCATCATCAGATAAACTTAAATTATCCTTTAGCCTCCAAGGCAGAGCTCCTAGACTTAAATTACCTTAGCCTTTTCCTGGCAGCTTTTACTTGTCTTCCCTGTGCATCTCAGGGGATGGTTTCATAGGCAGGGCAGAGCATGCCTGAAAGGTCCAGCTGAGTTTTATCAATTTGCAAGTGCATACACCCTATTTCAATTAACTCACATTGCTTATGGACTTTTATCTAATAATAATTCACCCTGAGCAGGTCCTGTGTTTTTATTACACAATATTCTTATCATTGTGCAGCTTCCCCAGACTGAATGAAGCCAGGTTTCTCCTCCCACCAGCAGGCCTCACTATGTCTCACTCCAGGTGAAAAGTATAAATTAACAGAAAAAAAGGGCAGAATTGTTAATATCCTTCTTTCACATTAATAGGAATCAAGATACTAACTAAAGTTTAAAAGAACAAGAAATAGGAGCAAAAAAAAAGGAATTAAACAAACAAAATTAAGCACTTAAAAAACTAAAATTAATGTAATATTTAAATAATGAGAAGTAGAGATAAAGTAAATAAATTATATCTATCTTATTTGCAGTTAAAAGTTGGATTAGTTTTCTAATTCTGCATAACAAATTATTATAAGTTTATCAGCATAAAACAAAACAAATTTATCATCTCACAGTTTTCTGTGGGTCAATGTCCAGGTTAGCTGGATCTTCTGCTCAGGATCTCACCAAGCTGAAATCAAGGTGTCAGCCAAGGCTGCATTCACACCTGAGGCTTGTAGTTCTCTTCCAAGCTCTTTAATTGTTGGCAGAATTCATCACCTTGTAGTTATATGACTGAAGTCCCTGATTTCGTGCTGCTGTCAGCAAGGGATCACCCTCCAGAACTGGAAGCCACCCTCAGGTCCTAGCCATATGGCTCTCTTTTCTCAAAATATGGCAGCTTTCTCTTCAAGGCTGTAGGAGTACCTTTTTTGGAAAGGCCCAACCCCTCTATTAAGGGCTCATCTGAATAGGTCAGGTCCACCCAAGATAATCTCCATTGCATTAACTAAAAGTCAATTGATTAATAACCTAATTATTAGAGTTATGGCCCATAATATTCACAGGTCTCACCAACCCTCAAAGAGAGAAGATTACATAGGGCATGCACACCACAAGGAGGGAATGAATCTTAGTGGCCATCTTATTAGACTTCCAAATAGCACACAGTCATGATCTAAAGTAGGTAAATCAAAAATCAGAGGAACAGGGCTTCCCTGGTGTTGCAGTGGTTGAGAGTCCGTCTGCCGATGCAGGGGACACGGGTTCATGCCGTGGAGCGTCTGGGCCCGTGAGCCATGGCCGCTGAGCCTGCGCGTCCAGAGCCTGTGCTCTGCCAACAGGAGAGGCCACAACAGTGAGAGGCCCGTGTACCGCAAAAAAAAAAAAAAAATCAGAGGAACAAGCATACTATTCGAACTTAAATTTAGACTTTTAACAACCAAAACATAGAATGAAACATATATTGGTTTTGAGGAATGGACCTGGGCAGGGAGAGAGACTGTTACTTTTCATCATATGTTTTTATGTACTATTTCAGTGTTATTTTATATTACACAAGAAATTATGTTACAGTAGAAAAATTAGAAACCACAGACAGGGGTGGTGGAAAACTCTCACCTTCACAGGCTCACTTTTTCTTCTCTTAAGTGTTCAAGTTACTTTGAGTTGATTCTTTGGACTTATTCTCTTCTTTCTCTACCTACTCTCCCTGGATGATTTCACCCATTCCTGTGGCTTCAACTATCTTCTATATGCTGTTAGTTCTCGAATATATATTTACAGCCCTGACCTCTCTTTTGAGTTCCACACACATGTCTTTAATTCTTCCTACATATCTCCAACTACTTAACTAACCAACATCTCAAACCTAGTAAGTCCAAATAATAAATTAATATTATTTGCTGCCACCATACCTTCTCCTTCTTTTATTTCCTATATCAGTTGATAACATAACTATTCACTCAGTCTCTCAAACTATAAATTTTAGAATCATCTGTCACACCTGCCTATCATTCATGGTCACCAAGTCCTCTTGGGTATAATCAGACTAGTTCCACATCCAACACTATCTCACCATCACCACTGCCACACCATGCCCAAGTCTCATTTCTTTTAACTGATTTCCATCTACCAACCTTCCACCTACTAATCTATCCTCCAAACTCCTAAGGGTCATCTTCCTAAAAAACAAATGTGATTACACCACTCCCTGCTTGAAAACTCTCCTTCTCGCCAGTTTCCTTAGGGATAAGCCCAACCCAAATCTCATCCTCATCTCCATTTGCTTCTCATCCCTCCTGTTACTCCTTCTCATCTCTCTGCCATGCAAACACAGTCTATCTTCCAGCCATACTGAATTTCTCACCGTTTGATAAATATGCCGTGTTCCTTTATAATTACTGAATTTTACACACACAGTCCTCTCTTCCTAAAATGTTCTAGCCTCATACCCATCCACTCTTTCTTTTTTTTTTTTTTTTGCGGTATGCGGGCCTCTCACTGCTGTGGCCTCTCCCGTTACGGAGCACAGGTTCCGGACGCCCAGGCTCAGAGGCCATGGCTTACGGGCGCAGCTGCTCCGCGGCATGTGGGATCTTCCCGGACCGGGGCACGAACCCGCGTCCCCTGCATCGGCAGGCGGACTCTCAACCACTGCGCCACCAGGGAAGCCCTCCTATTCACTTTTAAAGATCCAATTCAAATGTTGCTTTCTCTAGCAGAGGCTTCCTCATCTCCTCACAAAGAGTTCATTCCTTTTCCTCACAACATATAGTTCTTCTGCATTTTTCATTACCATCTCATTTATTATCTTCCCCACTCAAGGGCATTTTCAGGAAGGAATCTCTATTATTTGTATCTATATCATTAGTACCAAACACAATTCCTGGTGAATACTACATGCTCAATAAATGTTTTATAAAACAAGATTAACTTGCACATATATGGCCACTTGACTTATGAAAAACGCAAAATTATAACGCATATCTATACGGAAAAGTGAATTTTGTCCTTACCTCACACCATATGCAAACATTTATTCCAGATAAATTATAAAGATAAATGTGATTTTAAAATAAAGCTTCTAGGGACCTCCCTGGCGGTCCAGTGGATGGGACTTTGCCTTCCAACGCAGGGGTTGTGGGTTTGATTCTTGGTCGGGGAGATAAGGTTCCACATGCCTCATGGTCAAAAAACCAAAACATAAAAAAGCCAGAAGCAATATTGTAACAAATTCAATAAAGACTTTAAAAATGGTCCACATCAAAAAAATAATAATAACTTAAAAAAAATAATAAAGCTTCTAGAAGATAAATTTGGAAAATATCTTTATGACTTATGACCTCAGAGCAGGCAAAGATATCTTAAGCAGGACACAAATGTGCTAATCATAAAAGAAAAGATTGATAAGTTAAACTACATTGAAATAAAGAACTTCTGGCCATTAAAAGACACAACTAAAAAAACAAAAAGGCAAGTCACAGAATGGAAAAGATATTGGCAATGCATCCATTCAACAAAGAACTTGCACCAACTACAAATAAATTTTTCTAAAAATAAAAAACAGACAACCCAATAGGAAAAATATGGACAAATGACTCACAAAAGAATATATCTAAATAACCTATATGGATATAAAGATGTAGTCAGTTTCATTAGTCATCAGAAAAATCAAACTGACAAATGAGATATCAAAACCTACTCATCAGATTGGCTAAAATTAAAAAGACTGACAGTATCAAATGCTGATGAGATTGTGGAACAACAGGAATGCTCATGCACTACTGGTGACAGTTTAAAATGGTACAAACTCTATATAACTATTTGACAGTCTCTACTAAAATCATATACACTACACCCCTTGACCCAGCAGTTCCACTTCTAGGTATATACCCACAGATATCCTTACATATGAATACCAAAGAGAATTAACAAGAATGTTCACAGAAGCACTATTTGTAATAGCCCCAAATGGAAACAACATAAATGTCATTTATCAATAAAATAGATAAATTGTGGTATATTTATCAAACAGAAATTACACACTAACAAAAATGAAAGAACTACCGCTATATGCAAAAACATTGGTAAAGTCACAAAATGTTGAACAAAAGAAGCTAGACACAAAAGAGTACATACTACATGATTCTACTTACATAAGCTTCAAAAAACAGGTAAAACTTCTCTGTGGCAACAGAAGTCAGAGTTGGGTGTAATGGTTGGGAGGGGGCACAAGGCAGACCTCTTAGACCTCTAGTAATATTATATTCCTATCTGGGTACTGTTTACATGGGTTTGCTGATTTTGTGAAAATTCATCAAGTTGCACATTTATGATTTTTGCAGTCTCCTCTATGCATGTTATACTTCAATAAAAAGTTTACTTAAAAAATTAACTTGCACTGCTCTTACATTCTGCAGCATTAATGACTGCTGGTTGGACTGTAATTTCTATAATCAATAAGGAAGTGAATAGCATGCTACCATGTTATTATTTCCTAGAGTCAGTTTCTGAACTGAGATCATTATCCCAGAATGTTAAATCATTTAAAAGCATTATAAAAGCCTATTACAATTGAATATCCACTTAACCTGTAAATTTTTCTTTTTATTATTATTTATTTATTTATTTTTGGCTGCGTTGGGTCTTCATTGCTGTGCACAGGCTTTCTCTAGGTGCGGTGAGCAGGGGCTACTCTTCGTTGCAGTGTGTGGGCTCCTCGTTGCAATGGCTTCTCTTGTTGTGGAGCACAGGCTCTAGGTACTCTGGTTTCAGTAGTTGTGTCACGCGGGCTCAGTAGTTGTAGCTCACGGGCTCTAGAGTGCAGGCTCAGTAGCTGTGGCGCACAGGCTCAGTAGTTGTGGTGCACGGGTTTAGTTGCTCCACAGCATGTGGGATTTTCCCAGACCAGGGCTGGAACCTGTGTTCCCTGCACTGGCAGGTGGATTCTTAATCACTGCGCCACCAGGGAAGTCCCAACCTTTTAATTTTTCAAAGAACAAAAGTTTGAAGAGCATAATTTCACAATGTGTTTACAGTTAATTGGCTAATAACATTTAAGCACAGCATCAAAGGGTTAAACTAAGTCATTCTGCCCATTTCTAAGAGGTTACACTAGGAAGATTTCAAATGAAAACTCTGTTATTGTCAAAAAATCAGGCTATTCCTCATGTTCCTTTAGAAGGCTGTGTTAGGTTTTTATGGTAGGCTGACAATGGTTCCCCAAATATATCAGGTTGTAAATCCAGGAACTTGTAAATGTTACCTTATAAGCAAAAAGGTCTTCACAGATGTGATAAAGTTAAGGGTCTTGAGATGGAGAGATCATCTTCAATTAATTAGGTGGACCTTAAATGTAATTATATGTATACTTAGAAGAAGGAGATTTAACTACAAGTACAAGAAAAAGTGATATAAAGACAGAGCAGAGAGAGATTTAAAGATGCTGGTTTTTAAAGATTGGAGTGATGTGGCCAGAAGCCAAGGAATGCTGGCAACCACCAAAAGCTAGAGAGGCAAGGAATGCATTCTCCCCTATAGAGCCTCCAGAGGGAATGTCACCCTGCCAACACCTTGATTTCAGGGTAGTGATAAAGATTCTGTACTTCTGGCCTCCAGAAGTGTAAGAGAGTAAATTTCTGATGTTTCAAGCCATCAAGCTTGTGGTAATTTGTTATAGCAGTTACAGGAAAACAATACAGGTGCTAAATATAAACACTGAAAATTGTATAATATCTCTAAAAATAATACCCTTTTTTCAAACTTGTATGTTTATTTTCCCAATTGATATTATGGATTGTGGCATTTTATAGGACACAGAAGTATTCACAGAAAGTAGAAAGAGAAAACAAATACTAGAACATAATTTATATGGTTCATCATGGGGACCTTAAAAAATACAGGTTTGTGATTTTCTACTCTCAAGTTATCTTTTGTCTGCTAAGGGCTGGACTTTAATATTCACTAGTTCTTAAAACTTCAAGTGGTGTTAAAAATGGAATGTAAGCCTTCTAACTCAAAAACTCAAATAAAGAGTATAAAAAGCATTTATTTTATTCATTAAGGATTATTTAAAATGAAAATATATAGGGATATATTGAGATTTCAGAGGGTTCTCAAATAAAACCTAAGTGCCTTATGGTAATTCATTAATCCACTTATCCTCAGTGAATGCTTGAGTTAATTTTAGCATATTGTATTCTCAATGAATATGTCCCAATTCACCCAAAAGGTTAATAGTTTATGCAATGCATTCTTATCAGGTACAGGTACACAAAGCAATGTGCTAGTTGCTGATGTTGGGAGGTGGAGGAGTGAGCCACAGAAAGCAAAAACTTTTCAGTGCTGATTTCTGCTGTATGGGACCTGCAGCAATAAGATACAGAAAGATAAAATGAACACAGATAGCTATATTACAAGATTGTTTCTCTAAGTGTTATACGAGAGTTATAGGTAAAAAGTTAGAGTTCGGAAAAAGGAGAAATTTCCATAGAACTAGGGTGGGAAGAGGGCGAAGGCAATGAAAATAGTCCATGGAGAAGGTGGACCTTGAATTATCTAATGTGCCAATTACCTAATTATCTAATGAACAGTCCAGGTGATAAAGTATCATGTGTCCAAGTTACTGTACAGAGATGACTTTGGCTGGTGTTTACAACTGATTGGAAACAACTCAGTAAAAGTCAGGCTAGGGAGACTGGACTTGTCTATAAGCCATGAAAACCCACAAGAAGTTCTAAAGCAAAGGAGTGATAAGATTGAGAAATTAATCAAGCAAGGTGTAATAGGAAATGGGGCTAGGGAGAGAAGATGGGCAAAAGTGAATCAGATTCTAGCTCTACTACTTGCACTAATCTCAGGCAAATTACTTGTCTTCCTGTATCTCAGACTCTATTTCTGTAAATGGAGTTAACTGAAATGACCTCGTAAGATTGCCGTGAGGGTCAAAAATAAATAAGGAACATAATATTACATAACTTTTAAAACAGGATAAGTAAAAGGTATAAAATACAAAGTATGCACTTACATTCATAATCCAGGCAAGATTTAAGGAGGGCCTGAAGAATTAACTGGGAATCTTAATCAAAAAACGTATACCAGAGATATTTCAGTGGTAGACCTGACAGACTCAGCAATTGATATAATGGGGATGGAGATGCAGGGAACAAGGACCAAGAGATTTTAACCTTAGATGACAACAACAATGAGAACATAAAAAGAAGAGTAGGTTTATGGCTCACTAGATCTCTCCTTGACTCAACAAATAATCATCATGTGCAGTTACCACTCAAAGTTCTGGGACTGCTGCAGAAATAAAGTAGACAAAGAGCTGCTGCACAGAGCTTGTATTCTATGGAGGGACACAGGTAATTAAAGATAAATAAACACATGGTATGTCACTATATTAATCATGTTTTTTATTATCTGTATTTTATGATATTCTGACAACTCCTTTTATGAGACTCCTGCAATCTGGTACACTATCTCCCAGGCCTAAATCACCCCAGGATCAGGTACCAGACAACTAGGAACCACCCTTATATCTCAGAGCCTGGAGAAATTACTCAAACTAAACTTGTTCAGCTACTTACTCTGCCTTTCCCAATCCTTCCCCCAAGAACCACAATAAAGGCCCTGGCCCATGCTTTCCCCTCACTCCTTCTGCATCCTGACCTACCCCTGTGCTTCCCCATCTGGCCCTGCATGGCATGGCATGCCTCCTCCTCTTGCAAACTATAACAAACTATCTTTTCAATGGCAATCATCTTTTATCATCTATTAACCAAAAGAATACCCTATCATGGCAGTTAACTGAGGTTTTACTTCACATAGTCAGATTAATTTTTAGAGTACTAAATGGCTTTTGTCATGTCCTCCAACATACCAGAATGGTATTATACTTGGAAGTAATTCTCTAATATGTTTCACTATATTTTTTCCACTATAGTTATTTTCATAATAATTGAAATGTATATGAATAATTGAACATTTTACAATTTACAATAATCTTCTTCCCCAATATACTTCCCCAGTATAGAGTTAATTACATCTATACTGCCTATCTAAAAAGAGAATTCATATAATATTTCATATTTTTCAAGCATATAATATAGTTCAATAAATATTAACATGTTATTAATATTTTATAATCAAAATAAACCTCTACATGAATTTTCACACTTACAGTTATT